CTACCACCCAGCTTTGAGGGGGGGAAGTGTGAGAGTACGACCCCGTTACACCACTTGGCCTTTTCTTATTTCCTTCTTATTTCATTTCTCTTTTTATTCCATCTCATTTGGTTTCCTATTCTTCCTTTTTCATTAACCTTTGGGTCATACTGCTATTATACAGTGACGGAAAAAACTGTCCGGATGTTTGGCATTAATTAGGGTTTTTTTGTTTTTTGACCACGGTACATAAAGTCTTAATGTTTAATGGTGGTACGCTTTTGGAGGGGTACATAGTGGATGTTTTCACAGCACTTACATCCATAGTAGTACACTGCATCTAACTTAGTGCCAAAATTTATACAAGGGGGTCATCCGGACAGTTTTTTCCCGGGACAAAGCGTAAACTTTCGAAGACGTTTTTAGTACCTAGTACACCGACCCTTGGCCTCGATCACCACCCGCACCCTCCTAGGCATGTTATCTACGAGGTTAGTGCAAACCGTTGCAGAGATCTTCTCGCACTCTTCCTGGACCCTCCCTTTTGCATAAGGGGGTGAGCACTAGGAAAACCGCGAGGGATTTGAGTGTCTGCAAGTTTTTTGTGCACGATTTCTGTTTGAATGTTATGTATAAGACTAGCCACACTGAGGCATGACCAAAGATGCCATTAGCCGATTAGTTCCATCTTATCATGGGTCGTCTTCGTCGTACCGCTGTAGGGTAAAACCACGAATAGAGCGGCAAAAAATAGTGTATATGCCATGAAACTGAGGGTGACGTAGCACGGTTGATTATTCATCCTTGCACTATTAGAATCACGCTAGGATCTGCATGTCTCATCACGGTGCAGCAGTCGAACAAATTGTGACTGTTCGGGAAGAATATCCAGGTTGAGGTCTGGTAAAGAAAAGGGTCACTCCAGTGCAACATACTTATGCTCCCCAATGCTCTCCAAGCCATTTGTACCGCATAGGCTTGGAATAGAATTGGAGAGCATCAGTTTGTAGCCTTTGAGTGGCCCTTTTCTTCACTTGACCTCAACTTGGATATTCTTCCACAACAGTCGCAACTTCATCGAATGCTACACTGTGATGAGACATGCAGATCCTAGCGTAATTCTAATAGTGCAAGGATGAATAATCAACCGTGCTACGTCACCCTCAGTTTCATGGCATATACACTATTTTTTGCCACTCTGTTCGTGGTTTTACCCTACAGCGGTACGACGAAGACGACCCATGATAAGATGGAACTAATCGGCTAATGGCATCTTTGGTCATACCTCAGTGTGGCTAGTCTTATACATAACATTCAAACAGAAATCGTGCACAAAAAACTTGCAGACACTCAAATCCCTCGCGGTTTTCCTAGTGCTCACCCCCTTATGCAAAAGGGAGGGTCCAGGAAGAGTGCGAGAAGATCTCTGCAACGGTTTGCACTAACCTCGTAAATAACATGCCTAGGAGGGTGCGGGTGGTGATCGAGGCCAAGGATCGGTGTACTAGGTACTAAAAACGTCTTCGGAAGTTTACGCTTTGTCCCGGGAAAAAACTGTCCGGATGACCCCCTTGTATAACTTTTGGCACTAAGTTAGATGCAGTGTACTACTATGGACGTAAGTGCTGTGAACACATCCACTATGTGCCCCTCCAAAAGCGTACCACCATTAAACATTAAGACATTATGTACCGTGGTCGAAAAGCCTAAAAAACCTCATTAATGCCAAACATCCGGACAGTTTTTTCTGTCACTGTAATTATATCACCCACCAGGCTTGGGATGTACTGGTGCGCTCTATCTAGCGTAATCCTGCCGTAATCCCTTCAAGCCAATAGCCTCGCGTGGCTATACGCAGGGTGATTCTATCTTCTAGAAGGGTCTAATCCCTTAGGATAAGATAAACCTGGTTACCTGATGTACTATGGAAGTATAAAAGCGCCTTGTACTGATCGATAGTGCAATCTTTCCTCGGGTCATTCGATCGTGTGACAACACTGCTCCAGAAATAACTCCAAGACGAACTGAAAAATTCTTCACGAGGTAATCAACTGCTTGCCAGCTGGCTCCAACACAGCTCCAACAGTGCTGCTGCAAAATCTCATCCATGCGATACTGCTCCAGGCGAATGGCGGGGTCGTGTTCGATTTAGCGAACGAAGGTAGGCGAATTGGTGATGGAGGCGGTAGCGGGTGATGGCGAGAGGTAGACGACGATGGCGATGGGAAATGACCTGTCTTGAACCGCCCCAATAAATACCCTCAAGTCGAGCCCAGGGTCACACAGGGTCGTGCTCCGTTTTGTCCATACATGCCGAAAATTTCGGAAATCACTGAAATAGCTGCTGCTCCTTCACTGTCCATGAAACCAAACTACTCCGCAAAAATCAGATGATGTCGCTCGTCCCCCTGGATATAGCGGGCACCACGCCAGCTACAAAGCCTTGAACGGCTTCCCCGTTCTTTACAGCGAAAATGTCGGAACTTCTCCCGTAACTTAACAAATACTGCAACTCCGCTTCACAGCTGCACGTGCTTCTCAGCTACCCATAAAACATTGATGCGCTGTCCTTTAGCTGCACCCCCATCCGTCCGTCACCAGCTGTACGCATGAACTGAGCCCATTGATCTAGGGTACTCGTCGTTCACCGCTCGGGCATGGGTCTTCGGCCGTCGATCATGGCTGGGAGCATCATACGCCGTCGATCTCCTCACAACTGTAACCCCAAACTCTTAAAATACCATGGTACCCCTGACCCGCAGGCCGTGCAGACGTTCACCCATCTCGCTGCTGCTGCAGGTTTTCCAAAATCACTTCTCTGCTACTTAGGTACCCGTAAACTTCAGATGCTTAACAGCTGCGCCGCTGGTCTTCGAAGAATTCCTCATCTGGTACCGGGCGTTTTTGCAGTGCACCGACGTTCACCCATCTTTGCGCTCGCCATGATACCAGACAAGTCCTAGGCATTATCGCGCGTCGTAGTAGCCCGTGTAAATCTGGGACAACTCCCTCCGCTTAGCCGCACTCCGAAAACTTCGGATACAGTGTCGAGTTCCAGCTGCAACAGTGTCGACTTCGAATATTTCTTCACGGCTTTCCCGACTATTTCAGCAGGTCGTTGTTCACCCAACTTCCCGCTTCTGTCAGTAAGTAAACAGCCGTAAAACCGTAATCCGGGGCAGGACGGAGTAAAAGCTAGCGCGCATGCATGTAGTCGGTGGAGCTAAAATATTAACTCCCAGCCAACCGCTGCGCAGCCGTGCAAATCCCCTCCGACACCACGAATTACCCAAAAACCCCCATTTTCCCTTCTCCAGCTGGTCAAGGTGGCCCGGACGGAGCAGAAGCCAGCACACACGCCATTAATCACCGAAGCGATCGCTGTGCAGCCATGCTAATCCCCTCGGACGAACACCATTTCCAGGTCAGCTCCCCAAATCTTCGCCAGTACGAAGGAAGTTCCAGCTTTAACCCCCGTTACGGATCTGGAAGGTGAAATGACCCCATAAATCACGACTACTCCCAGGTGGAGGCCGTTGCAAGTCGGTGCAAATGACGCTCCGTCAGCCGGTGGCTAAACCGCTACTGACGCGCAGCAAAATCCGCTATCCTGAACTTCCCTACCGCCGCATCCTCTTTTCTTCTAGAATCCGAAAACTTCGCCCTTACGGTGACCCAGGGAGACGCGCGCGACGGACCCGTCCATAATTTCTTTTGCAGTATCCATGGGTTGCGCCCCATGTCCCTTTTTATCGCGGAGCCCTGGCCGTCATTTCTCGAGCTGGTTTCCTCGTCAGGAAACTTTTGCCCGGCATGTAGGTACAGTGTCGGCAGGTTGTAGACCACGCGTAAAGCCTGACTGCAATCCAGCTGCCAACTGTTTGACATGTGTCGGTGACGTCCCAGTGCCATCCTGGTGCTGTACGAAAGTTGGTCGTTGCCGAAGGTTTCTGCTTCCGGATTTTTCGTCGAATCAAGGCTGCGCCGACCCACTGCCGTTGTCCCCTCGCCGAAGTTACCGGAGCGCGACGACACACTAAGGCCCAATCCTCCGAGGTTGTCGGTTTGCACATGAATAAGAGTGCCGGCGAATTCTTCGCGTCTCTCGCTCCCTGCGCTTTCTCCGTGTACACTTCTGACACATCGCACGTGCACCTGGCGAACTCCAAAATATTCTCACGGAGTTGGGCGAGCCTTCGCTTTTTTTCGCACAACTGCTGACGACGTCTCCTGGCGAGCCGCTTGAAGATTTCCCGCCACGTGACGACGACGCGATATTGCCACACAAAACGAACGAAGTAAATGCATAATTCACCAACTCATGTGGCGAATCAATGTCGTGACAGCCACAGCTGCCCGTTCCTGGGGGGAGGGAGGACCCGACCAAATCTTAGCCGTCCAAAGGCAGGGTCTGGTGACGAAGGGAGCGCACACGCTTTAGTCGGATGAGCTAACAAATTAGCTCCGAGCCAACCGCTGTGCAGCCCCACGGCCCACCAGCCATCCCTCCTTCCCCCCCCCCCAAAGAAAAATTATCGGGCAGGCGGAAGCTACTGCGCGAGGAAAGTGGTTCTGAATACCAAGTGTTATGAGCGGGAATGGAACAATCGACTGCGTAATCTAACTACATCCTAGGAATAATGATCGATCAGCAAGTGACGAGCGAACTGGCTAAAATAGGGCTCGTACGTGCTAGGGCGAGAACCTCGGGACGTGAGATGGCTTGGATTGGTGGCGAGGGAGTGGGGACGCGACTCGGGAAGGTTTGGGCCGACAATATAGGCCGAACCTGCGAGGTCAACGTCTTCGGGTGTACGCGCTGTAATTTAGCGCAGTAAGGAATTGTAATTCCTTACAGCACTGGTAGTTTACTGTTACTTCTTGCTGGAACAGTAAAAGAGTGACGAGTCTGCCACCCTTTTCCCCAACTGTCGAAGGACTGGCGAGGGCTGTGCGATCTGAACTCAAGATTCCAAGTACTTAGAAGCTTGAGTTTATTATGTTTATTCCAAGCTCTGTATGGGGCAGCAGAGAATGACAAATAGCATCGCAGACATACGTTAACATCGCGCGAATAGCACCCGTTACCCGTATGGCCTTCCAACAGCTGCTCCGGCCACAGCATTTATAATATCCTAGGCCGTCACGTCTCTCACTCTCTCTCGCGCGCGCTTCCACTCAGAGACGTATGGTCAACAGCCAATCCGCCACCGCACATGCGCAGATCCTATCCTCTGATTGTCGCCACTCTTACTCTTTTGTACCCCTATAACGTTGACCAATTTGCTCCACCCCCCCACCCCCGCGCCCCTTGTCGCTCGCACACTCAGTACGCGTTATAAGCTACTTCTTTTGTCCTTACATCACAGCCGCACCGCCACCTTCGTAGCACCGCCTCCGTAGCAGATCGCGACATAGGATCGAATCCGGGGTCGAACCGGGTTCAATCTCGAACCGAAATCACGACTGAAGGCAGGAGCAGGAGAAAGCATCAAGCCTAGGGTTACTTCCGGTAAGCCTAGGGATAACTGCGAGGCGTGTTTGTCAGACAGTCTCGAGTGAAGAGTGAAGAAGAAGAGTCCGCGAAGCGTCGTCGGCCAACACGCGGAGCGCGTCGTTCGCGGACGAGCCGCTCTCACGCCCCGCGTGTCCCTGATTGGCGGGCGAGACACGTTGGCGGCGGCGGCGCCATGTGGGCGGCGGTGATCGCGGCGGTGGCGGCGTCGAGCGGCAACAACATCGGAAAGGTGCTGCAGAAACAGGCCACCCGCAGCCTGCCGCGACTCACACTCGAATCCAAGGTGCGCGCCTTGCGCCTCGCTGTGCGCCCCGCGCTGCTTGCTGCTGCCATTCCACACTTGCTCTCGCCTCGCCCTGTCATTTGACGCTCCTCCCATCCCCACATCCACCCCCCACCCCACATCCCCCCCCCCCACACACATCCAACACCCCCCGGCCCCCCCAAGGTGGTATGGACGTACCTGCTGAGCCCGCTGTGGGTGACGGGGCTCATCATCGACGTGGGGGGCGGGCTGCTCATGCTGCAGGCTGTGGCCTCCGCGCCGGTGAGGCCAGGGGGGAGGCGGGGGGGGGATGGGGGAAGGGAAAATCCTTTCTTCTTCTAGGCGCATAGAGGATAGATGCGGGATGTTCCAGGCGGAAGGAGTGGGGATTGGGAGGGTGGAGGAGGAGTGGGGCGTGGGGAGGGGGAGGCGGCAGGGGAGGGAGAGGGGGAGGAGGATTTGAGAGGAGAGGGGAACTGGGCGGGTGGATGGTGCGAGGAGGTGAGGGAGGGGGAGAGAGGTGTGAAGAGAGTCGTACCGTAATCACCCGGATAGACGCCCCTAGGGGCGTTTATAGGACTGGTTTTGAAAACGTGGGGGGGCGTTTAATTGAAAAAAAAATATACGCCCATGGGCGTTTAAAAAGGTATATAGGCGAATTGATATTTCTACATCAGATTGTAGCCTTTGCTTCGATTCATGCAAATGGGATCACTTTTGACGAAAATTCTCACATCCATCGCGCTGAGAGTCCAGTCGGCAATGTGCCAGGCTGGAAACATGCTACTCTGACGCGAATCTTGTTGGCGCGAAGAGCCGAAGGGCGCAAATCGCACTTCGGGCTGGCACAGGGTGAGGATTCTCGCTATTACCCGAATCCGTTCCGTCGTTTTCGTACAGTGTTTTACGAAATAAAAGAGGGGCGTATAGGGTACACACTCTCTAAAAATAGGGGGGGCGTTTAATTGAATAATAGCTATAAGGCCCAAAGCACGAGATAAAGCCCATGGGACTTATCCTACGGAGGGGCGTCTATCCGGGTGATTACGGTATCAGTAGGCTTATATGGGCTATAGTCTTCGTCTCCTGTGCTTACATTACATCACCACCCCTTGCCTCAATATCCCCTACCCCACCCGTTACATTCCCTCCTGCTCGTCTTAGTTTCCCGTACTGCAGTCTCCTCCTCGTTCCCCCTCCCTTATTCCCACCTCCCCTCCTTTGCCCCCCCCCCCACCTCCCCCCCCTCATCCCCCCCACACGTTTCCGCCCTCCCTGCGCCTATCTCAACCCTTATCTCCTCCCCTGCGACCTTCCTCCTCCCCTCCCCGTCCCCCTCCCTCGCAGGTGTCCATAGTGCAGCCGGTGTCGACCTCGGGTCTGGCGCTCATGGCGCTCTTCTCGCACGTGTACCTGCACGAGCCCATGCGCCGGCAAGCTCTACTGCACCCATTCCTCCCTGCCCTGCCCCTCCCTGCGCCTATCTCTCACCCCACTCCCCTTCCTTCCCCCCGCCCCCCCTGGCAGGTGTCCATAGTGCAGCCGGTGTCGACCTCAGGCCTGGCGCTGATGGCGCTCTTCTCGCACGTGTATTTGCACGAGCCCATGCGCCTCGCCGACTGGACCGGCATCCTGCTCTGCATCCTCGGCACCGTCGGTGAGCGAGAGAAGGGGAGGCGGGGGAAGGGGGGGGGGGAGAGGGTAAGGGGAAGGGGAGAAAGGTGAAGGGGCTTTTTGCGAGGAGAGTCTTTCGAGGGTGTATTAGCTTTCCAGGGTCTGCGGAGAGTGTGGCTGGTACCACAAGTGGCGTTCCTATGGGATCACCCAACCCAAGTGGTGGTTGCCGACTGGACTGGCACCCTGCTCTGCATCTTTGGCACCGTGGGGGAGAGGGAGGGGAGGGGGGGGGGGAAGGGGGGCTGGAAGGCGGGGGAAGGGCGGGGTGGGAAGCTGGATGGGAGTGGGTGGGGGCTGGTTGGGGGGTTGGTTGAGGAGGGCTGGAGGGATCCCTCAAACACACATGTAACATTGCCTTCACCCCAAGGGCGCTCGGAGATGAGGGCTTGGATTGAAGTATTGGCTTGTGCTGTGCGTGCGACTGCTGCTTCAAAGGTTACCTACTGGTCTTTCACCATCGTCACCATCGTCACCATCGTTCTTATCTTCTCTCTTTTAACTTTTTTCCACCCCTCTGTTTACTCTCCCTCCGCCTTTCGTGTTACTTCTTCCCTTCCCCTCCTCTCTCCTCCCCTCACCCGCCCTTCCCCCCCTCTCCCCTCCCCTCACTTGCCCTTCCCATTCCTTCCCTCCCACCTGCCACCCCACTCCAGCCGTGGGAGTGTCGTCTGAAAATCCCCTGCCGTCCGCGCCTCCCCCTCAGCTGTCCTTGCGCCACCTCATGGCTTTTGTCTTCTGGGTTGTGCTGCTCATGGTGAGAGGGGGTCGTGGTGAGAGGGGGTGATGGTGAGAGGGGGTGATGGTGAGAGGGGGTGATGGTGAGAGGGGGTCGTGGTGAGAGGGGGTGATGGTGAGAGGGGGTGATGGTGAGAGGGGGTGATGGTGAGAGGGGGTCGTGGTGAGAGGGGGTGATGGTGAGAGGGGGTCGTGGTGAGAGGGGGTGATGGTGAGAGGGGGTGATGGTGAGAGGGGGTGATGGTGAGAGGGGGTGATGGTGAGAGGGGTGATGGTGAGAGGGGGTGATGGTGAGAGGGGGTGATGGTGAGAGGGGGTGATGGTGAGAGGGGGTGATGGTGAGAGGGGGTGATGGTGAGAGGGGGTGATGGTGAGAGGGGGTGATGGTGAGAGGGGGTCGTGGTGAGAGGGGGTCGTGGTGAGAGGGGTGGTGAGAGGGGGTCGTGGTGTGGGGTTCTCTTGCTTCCTTCCCCCCCACTTCTCTTTTCTCCGCTTCTCCCATTTTTCTCCGTTCCAGAAGTCGCCCTTGTGTCATCTGTTTGCCTGGAATTTCCCTCTCACAAGCCAACCATCTGTGTTCGTGTGTGCGTGCGTACGTGCGTGTGGGTGCCTATGGTTGTGGTTGTGTGTGCATGTGCATGTGCATGGGTGTGGTTGTCCTGTGCGTGCATGGCAGGCAGTGCTCGAGTGGTGTGCCACATCCAGCAAGGCCAAACGGAAAATCAAGGACCCTCCTCTCTCCTCTGTGGGTCTCCCTTTGACTACACCCGCTTTCACCCTCCTTCCATGGCCTCTCATCCTCTCAACCTTTCAACCCTCTCGGTCTCCGTTCTCCCTTCCTCAGCCTGCAACATCCTCTTCAACCATTGGCACTCGTCCTTCTTGTTTGGGGTCCTTCTTCCTTCAGTCTAGTGGTACTTGCGCCACTGGCTGGCACGGCATGCTTCATGCTTCATGACCTCCCTTTAACATGGCCTCCTCTCTGAGCATGTCCACTGCCATGCTTCATGGCATACCCCCCCCACACCCCAGTACCCCCCCCCCGTCAACCTTCCAACCTCCCTTCCCCAATCGTGCCCCATCCCTGGGTGCTCTGCCCAGCAGAGCAGGCCCCCAGGGAGCGGAAGTGGTGGAGGAGCTCGCAGCAGAGACACAAGCTGGCGCTATCGTTGGACTTATAACATAACATGTTCGCCTCTCACGCTTCACGTCATGATTCTTCCAAATCACCTCCCCATCACCCCCTCATCACCCCCCATCACCTCCCCATCCCCCCCCATCATGGCGAGCATTAAGCCCCCCATCGTGCCGCCCGTCCTTTGTCTGCCCAGCAGGGCCTCCTGGGAGCGGATGTGGTGGAGGAGCTCGCAGCAGGCACACAAGCCGGCGCTTTCTTTGGGTACGCATGCTGCAAAGGAAGTGGGTCTCGTGCTCTGATTGCTCCACACTCCACACTTACTGGCACAAGTCACTTTCCTTGCTGTTCTCTCTGCTCGCCTCTGCCCCCCTGCTCATCCCGGCTCCACTCCCTGTCCGCCCTGCATGCTCCTTGCATGCTCCTCTCTCTTTCCCTCTGCTACCTGCCAATTCCCGTCCACTCTGCCTGCTCTTCCTCCCTCTCCCCCCCTCTCCCCCACTCTCCCCCCCTCCTCCCCCCCGCCCCCTCTGTTTCTCAGCCTGTCAGCAGCAGCTGTGAGGTGGGGCACGCTGCTGGCAACGGGGGGGCTGGCTGGTTGGAGGTGCCAGTGCAATTCACTCACCTTGCTACTTCCACACTCCCCTCACCTTCCCTCTGCTACCTGCCCACGTCCTGTCCGCTCTCCGCTCTGTCTGTCCCTCTCCCCCTCCTCCCCCCCCCCCCCCGGTGTTTCGCAGCCTGTCAGCCGCAGCGGTGAAAACGGGCATGCTGCTGGCAACGGGGGGGCCACCTGTCTTTGCTCTGCTGGGGATAGCAGTGGGCATCAGCCTCAGCAGCTTCGGCTTCTTCTGCCAGGTCAGCTGTGAGACTTTCTCAAAGGCATTCCCAACACGCCTCGCTCCGTGCTGCTGGCTGGAGCCACATCTCCAGGTGCCGGTTCAACATCGGTTCTTGTTCTTTTTGTTTCACTCACCTCGAAACTCGTCAGTGCGGACACGCACACAGCCACGCACACAGCTACGCACACAGCCACGCACACCATGGACTGGTGTGAAGCATGCAGCAACTCTGATGCGTGTATTATTCAACCGAAACTAACCCACGTGACACTAGCAGGGGATGCGATGCTCTGCCAAGTACCGGTGCTTCTCCAATCTCCTCCCGCCACTTTCCCATCCCACTTCCCTGAAACCCTCCCTGCACCCACCCCACCCTTCCACTCGCACGCTCCTCCCCCCATCAGACGCGGGGTTTCAAGGAGGGGCGGGCGGTGGTGGTGTCCACGTGTGCGTCGGTTTAGGGTGGCAGCCCTGCTCACAGCAGTGGCAGCAGGCATGGCAGGGCTGGGGGAGAACCCGCCCTCCAACCCGCACCTCTCTTTCCCACCCCTTCATCCTTCATCCTTCTCCCCATCCCTTCCCTTCTCCCTTCCTCCCTAAACCCCTCCGCCTCTCTCCACACACACACTGCCCCCGCCCTCGCCCCTGCCCTCTCTCCTTCCCCAACCGCCTGCCCCCCTCCTTCTCCCATCAGACGCGGGGTTTCAAGGAGGGGAGGGCAGTAGTAGTGTCCACATGTGCGGCAGTGTCAGCCATGCTCACAGCAGTGGCGGCGGGCATGGCAGGGTTGGGGGAGGACCTGCCCTCCAACCCGCGCCTGCGCATGTGGCGCTTCCTTGGCTGGTGAGATAAAAAAATTACGCACCGAAACAACCCTTGCTCACTAATGGGGCACCTCGAAACCCTCGCTCATTAATGGGGCACCTCAAAGCCCTCGCTCAGTTTGGGGCACTTCAAAAACCCTTGACTGGTGAGATGAGCTCTCCGCAGGGTCTTGGGTGTTGGGTAGGATTTAACCTGCTGAAGCCTCTTGCTCTAGGATTTAACCACCAGGAGGTGGCTAAGGTGTACCGTGATCACTTCTTCCCAGGTTTGGTGTTCTGCCAAAGCGTCCACTTCTGTATCCCACATCCTCCTCTCCATTGGTGCTTCTTCCCCTCTCCCCTCTCAGAAGAACGCCCCTCCCCTCTCCCACTCCCCACTCCCCACGCCCCATTCCCCACTCCCCACTCCCCACTCCCCACTCCCCACTCCCCACTCCGCACTCCGCACTATGCACTCCGGTTCCTGCCAATGCACTCAGGTCGCTCATTCTCTTTGGCATTGTGCTGCTTGTGGCTGCCAAACCTCCCGACCTAGTGGGCTTAGCCAAGGCCGACGCGGCCCGTCGCAAGCCCCTGCACCCCTCGCCCCGCGCACCCAACCGCTCCACTTCTCCCAGTGGTCTCTCCATAGGCATTGCTGCTGGCTTCCCTAGGAAGTATGAGCCATAGGGTTAGTGCTTCCTTCTTATACACCTGATGATATCCATGATTTGTTGTAGTATATGCGCTGGATGAAACATGTTCACTTATAGCCTTCATTGTTACCCTGTTGTATCTATCTATGGCCTTGCTTCACTACGAGGTAAGCATTGCACAATAAGTATTCCGGAGTTGTAAACGTCGTTTTATTTCACCGTTGTATGCGATAACAGAGTTTTCCTAGCTGGCGAACACAAACGGAGAGGTCTGTCAAAGTCCTGAAAACACGATTTTTTGTTCGTCGTGCTTCATGGTTTGCATTGCAGCATGCATGCTTTGCTGCCATGGCTTCCTCCTCCCCCCACCATTCCATCTCCCCCCCTCTCATTGCTTCCCCCTTCCGCCCCCACCTCACCACAACAACACCCCCCCCGCCCCCGCCCCCCGACTTCAGCTTCGTCACTCAGCCAATCATTGCGTCCCTCCCTCCTTCCCTCCCTGCCCGGCATCGCACTCACCCACTCGTCATCATTCCGTTCATTCCCCTGCCCTCCCTTGGGTGACCAGACCGAGCTGCTGTAGCGGTGAACGAAAATCGTGTACACTTCTGTACCTAAGAGAAATTTCCAGCCTCGTGTCTGACCCGCGGGTCTTAGGAAGACGCACAGTGGAAAATAATTGCCTTGCATCTTGCGTTTCCTGACGGCTGTTTGAAGGGCTACGCACAGTTAGCGTAGAAAATATAATGGCGCACAAGTGGCGCGAATATAGAACCAGAAGTCGTCCGCTAACATTTACTCGCACTTCGTTTTTGCGACGATTGTAGAAATATGTGTAACTTTGTTTTGCGCCAAGGCTTACATGTCTACGTTTTCTACCGTCAAAATCACTACATCCGCGGTTGGGCTTGTCAAACGCGGTTCCTTCGACCGCGGGTCCGCCTCGGGTCTGACCCTCACTACAGAATGATCCCTGAACACTGAGTCCACTACATTGTAGAGCAGAGCCCTAAGGGCGTGTGCAAATAAAGTATATAAGCAAATTTAGGTGCAGTTTGGTTTGGCATACATATCATACTCAAACAGAGCAAGCTCCAAGATTGTTGGAATTTGCTCTGTTATAGGGGGGCTGTGCGACGCATGCAGAGTTGCATTAAGTGAGTTGTGGTGATGTCTGTTGCGTACTGTACATGGTTAGTGCCTCTAACGTATGCTGAGACCGGAAGTCGCAGACATTTTTGCACATGCTTGTGCGACGCTATATGGAAACCACTCAACAGATCAGAACAAGAAACACTAGTTACTTGCGAAAGTATATAAAGCTGTGATTGGTTGATATCCAGTCGCTAAAGTCGCGAAGCACATTAAATTTTAAAATTGGTGCGGGAAATGTAAAACCTTGACTGAACTCATAGAGTATTTATAGGACGAAGCCTCATAGGACCTCGCGTTATAATCATTCGGTTATAAGCACTGCGCATAATTTATGTCTAAACTCGATGCGGTACGGATAGTTTCGTCACGATTTTGACGCGGTGCTGGGTCTTACGCGAGCTGTAGAACAGGCTGTGCGTAACTTCGCCCCTCTAAGCAATGCTTCGTCAAAATTCAAGTCAGGGAGATGCGCAGATTCTCGTCTGGCTCCAACTCCGGTTCCTAACCTGTCTGGTTTGGAAACAACAAATGGAATTAGCTGGCTTCCTTCGATTGGTTTCTTGGTAATATCAGCATCGATTGGGGATCATGTGAATCAGTTTCGCATCAATGGATCGGGAAGGGGGGCATGTGCGGGTCGTGGAGATCGCCGACCAATGGGATGTGGTCTTTACCATATTTATATGAATGCCATAGTTTGCGACGTTTATTGTATACGCTTATACGATTGGTGGAACATCGTGCACGCTGCATACATGGGAGTTGCGCATACCGAATCATTGCCATGTGCGAATGTGTGTCTTAGGAGTCATTGCTCTAGTCGCTTCTTACCAGGGCCAGGGATATGGTTTTGAGGCACCCTTAGGACTCAGGGTAGCATAGTTTTTTTACCCTTGCTCTTGGGGCATTTTTCATTACGCCCTGACAAAATCAGGGTGTTATGTCTGGAAAGGAAAAATGCATTGATGCAGGGAGGGTGATTTGCTAGATACCCCGGTGCAAGGACTGCAGTGGTGGCAGGATTGTTGTTGCGCCTAGAGTTGTAGGTGCCCACGCGAGAGCGCTGGCAATGCCAGTGAGGTGGGTTTGACTGTCGACGAGCGGGATTGTCTGGACGGTATTCGCCGATACCACAGATTCGACAGCTGTCGAATCTGTAACCCTTGTAGTTTTCTGTTACAGTGTCTTGTACGTCGCACCTTAACTGGGCAGGGTAAAAGTGGGAGGCCCCTTACTACAGCAGGGTAGTACCACCCTTACACTTTTCAACTAAGGGTCAGAAATAAAATAGCCTTACAAAGTCAGGGTAAATCCAAAAAAAAAGGCCAATGGTAAGGGTAATCAGGGTGAAATACCCTTGAACCCCAGGGCTTCGTGCGGTACAAGGCTCCGGTGCGATAAACATTTTCAGAATCTCACCCCAGGACACGCCCTTACGAGCAAGCCCTCGTCTTGTCACACGCGCAACCAGATTCGCCTTATCCCATCGCAACTTCACGCCACACCAGCGGATTCCTCTCTTGCAGCACTCAGGCCGGCAAATTTACCGTCGTCCGTCTGTTCATCTCCTACCTTTCTCTCCGTCGCTCCGCACTCTCCCTCTCTCTCTCTCTCTGCTTCTTTCCTTCCAACGGTTCGCTTGGACCTGCAGCGGTGTTACCAGAAGGCGCAGATGTGAAGCACCAGCCATGGCGCTGGTCGCGTCGCAGTTCGCCGCCGTCGTCCATTCGTCCCGGAATTCGTGCGGCGAGCAACACCAGCGCCAGCGCGAGCAGCACCAGAACGAACCGCACCACCAGCAGCAGCAGCAGCAGCACCACCACCACCAACAGCGCGTTTGCGATGTCACACGTGGCGTCTCCCTACGCGCGCCAGCCACCATTCCCGAGCACCACCCGTCCGCGAGCCAACATCCCCTTACCACCTCGGCCGTTTCCAACCCGTGTCGCAGCGACAGCGCGGGAGAGAGCAGAGAGAGCGCGGCGCGGGAGGAAGAGCAGCTGCTGTCGATCTCGTTCAATCAGGACTGCTCCTTCTTCGCCTGCGCCACGTCACGGGGCTTCCGGATTTTCTGCTGCCAGCAGGCCGTTCACGAGACGCTGAGCCGCGTCTGTTCTCCGCGCACCAGCACCTCCCCTCCCCCTCCCGCTCCCCCTTCCGCCGCTGGAGCGTTTCCTCCTCCGGCCGCTGCTCCCGCATCCCCCCCTCCTCCGTCCCCTTTCTCCGCTGAGTCCGCGCAACAGCTGGGTGGCGCAGCGGAAGCAGCGGGAGCAGCGGGAGCGGCAGCAGCGGGAGCAGCAGCGGCGGGGAGAGGGCTGCTGGGAGTAGGCGCAGCAGCAGTGGCAAGTCAGGGTGACCAGCATAATTTCCACCACCATGCCCACTATCCGCAGCACTACCAGCAGCATCAGCAGCACCAGCAGCACCAGCAGCACCAGCAGCACCAGCAGCCGCAGCAGCAGCAGCAGCAGCAGCATCAGGCGCAGGCGCTCGCGCAGCTGGAGCGGCAGCGCAGCGGGCGGAGCTTCCCCGCGGGCGGAATCGGAATGGCGCAGATGCTGTACCGCTGCAACTTCCTCGCGCTCGTGGGGGGCGGGGAGCGCCCGCGCTACCCTAAGAACAAGGTGGGTGGGAGGAGCTTACCCAGATATTAGCGGAACATGGTGGGAACCAACTCACCCTGGCAACAACACATTCATGCATGCGCCTGCACTCACCTTCTTCGCATTCTCCTCCGGCCCCTTCACCCCCCCCCCACCCCTCCGTTCCCCCTTCCACCTGCCTCAGGTGATCATTTGGGACGACAACCAGGGCCTAACCGTGGGCGCGAGCTGTCGCTCCGCTCGGAGGTGCGCGGCGTGTGTCTGCCTTTGTCACCTCGACTGAAAAATTCGCCCATCCCCCTTCCCCCCCCTCCCCTCCCTCCCCTCCCTCCCCTCCCTCCCTTCCCTCCCTCCCTGCGCCCTCCCCCCTCTCCAGGTGATAATCTGGGACGACAACCAGGGCCTGACGGTGGGCGAGCTGTCGTTCCGCTCGGAGGTCCGGGGCGTGTGTCTGCGGCGCAACCGCGTGGTGGTGGTGTTGGAGCACCGCGTGTACGTCTACAACTTCAAGGACCTGCGCCTGATCTCCCACGTCGACACGCTGCCCAACGCTAGAGGATTGGTCGCCATATCTCAGGCGCCGGCTCCCTTTGTTCTCGCGTGCCCGGGGATGTACCGGGGGCAGGTGAGGCCTGTGGGTGGCGTGGGGGAGGGGGGAAGGGGGGGCGGGGCTTACAGTGGGTGGTGAGAGGGTGAGGAATGAAAGGGGTAGACGGTGAGAGGGGATAGGTGAGAGTTGGGGAAGAGGGGGTGAGAGGAGAGTTGAGAGGGTGGGAGGTGGTAGGGAATGAGGTCGTTTGTGGATTCTCAACAGCCAACTGGGAGTATGATGGCAGTTGAGGAATTAGGGCGAGAGTTGAGTGCCGGCAGCGAGATGGTGAGCCGGGAGGGTTAGGAATGTCGTGGGTGTTGTTCTCTGAGAGAGTGGGACACAGTAGTAGGGCGTAGTCCCGACCCAACTCCCCTCTCCCCTCCCCTCTCCTCCCCTCCCCTCCCCTCCCCTCCCCTCCCCTCCCCTCCCCTCCCCTCCCCTCCCCTCCTCTCCTTGCCTCTTTCACACCCGCATGTTGCTTTCCCTTCCAGTAACTCCAATTCGCGAGCTTCCGCTTCTCTCTTTCTTGCCTCACTCTTCATCCTCCTCCCCCCGCCCCCTCTTTAGCTTTCCCCCATAGCCCCCCTCCTCCTTTTGTCTGGCGGCTCAACACATCCTGCGTCCCCCCCTCCCCCTGCCCCCCCTCTGTCACTCTCCCCACCAGGTGCGCATCGAGCACTACAACCTCCACGACTCCCTCTCCCCCTCTCCCGCCTCCCCTTCCCGCTCGCCCCCCCCCTCCCTCTCCTCCTCCCCCTCCGCCTCCCCCTTCCCCCCCGCTTCTCTGACCATCACCATCACGGCGCACGAGACGTCCCTCGCCGCGCTCGCACTCTCTCCTGACGGCACTCGAGTGGCCACGGCCAGCGTACGCGGGACGCTCGTGCGGGTGTTCAGCACTGTGGATGGCTCCATGCTGCAGGAGGTGAGGGGGGGGGGAGGGGAGGGGAGGGGAGGGGAGGGTAGGGGGGAAGGGGATAGGAGGGGAGGGGAGGAGAGTGTGGGAGCCCCCCTGGTGGTGTGCGTGTTCAACACTGCGGATGGCTCCATGCTGCAGGAGGTGGGTCGAGGGGGGTGAGGAGGGAAAGGGGATGGGAAGGGGGGGGAGGGAGGGGAAGCTGGTGCGCGTGTTTGATCATCTACTGCCGTGGCCATGGGTGCGAGTGTTGGACGGCTGATGCCTCCATGCCACACTGGTATTCCCATGCACATGCACATGCACATGCACATCCGCTTGACGTACAAAGAGATGCCATCACAGTAACCTTCTCCTTCTCTCCCTCCTATGATCCCCCCCCCCAACCCCCTCCTCCCTCCCCCAACCCCTCGTGCTTGCCATGGGTGCGTCAACAGCTGCGGAGGGGGGCGGACAGGGCGGATATATACAGCCTGGCCTTCTCCCCCAATGCGCACTTCCTCGCCCTCTCCAGCGACAAAGGCACCGCGCATGTCTTTGCGCTCTCCCCTCCTGCCGCCAGTAGCAGCCCTCCAACCACCACTGCTAACGCTGCCACCGCTGCTACTACTGCTGCTGCGGCTCCTGCCGTGCATGCTGTCACTGCTCCTGCTAATGCTGCTCTCCCATCCATCCCTGGCCAAACCTCCACCCTTCCCTCCCCACCACCCTCACACTCCCCATTTGCGAACCACTCAACACAACCCCCTCAGCCAACCCCTTTCTCTCTACCCCATGCTGCTGCCACCCCTCTCCCCACAGCTCTCGCCGCCCCTTTCCCTCCCTCCTCCTCCGTTCCTGCGGCAATTGATGCCTCCCCGAGCTCGTCCTCCTCCTCCTCCTCCTTCTCATTCCCCACGGTCCTCGGCGAGGGGTCCCCTGCTGCTGCCCCGACAGCGGCGGCAGAAGCAGCAGGAGCAGCAGGAGCGGCTGCACAGGGACGGACAGGAGGTGCGGCAGAGGCAGGAGAAGTGGGGGGGGTTGGAGGAGGTGTGGCAAGCAGCATGAGCAGCAGCGGTGGCGTTAGCAGCAGTGGTGTGTGCAGCAGCGGTGTGGAAGCAGAAGGGGATGTATCTGTGGCGTTGAGGCCTAATCCGGGCTCCTCGTTGTCTTTTATGAAAGGTGGGTGTGCACGTGTTGCTTTGGTGCCTGTGCTGTTGTGTCCATGTGTGTGTGTGTGTGTCCATGTGTGTGTGTGTGTGTGTGTGTGTGTGTGTGTGTGTGTATGTGTCCGCGTGTGTGTGTCTCGTTTGGTCCCCTCCTCTCATCTCATCCCCCTTTCTCCCCCCCTTCCCTCCCTCCTTTCCCTCCCTCCCTCCGTCCGTCCCTCCATCTCTCCCCACTCCCCCCCTCTCCCCCCCCCCACCAGGAGTGCTGCCCCGCTACTTCAGCTCCGAGTGGTCGCTTGCTCAGTTCCGCCACTTGCCCGACTGCCGCTCCCTCGTTGCCTTCGGCGCGCACCGCAACTCGCTGCTCGTTGCATGCATGGACGGCAGGTGGGTGGGTGGGTAAGTGGGTGGGTAAGTGGGTGGGTAAGTGGGTGGGTAAGTGGGTGGGTAAGTGGGTGGGTGAACTCGCTCAGGAGCAGGTGGGTGGGTAGGTCCTGTGCCGACTGCCGCTCGCTCGTCGCCTTTGGCGCGCACCGCAACACGCTGCTCGTTGCCTGCATGGACGGCAGGTGGGTGGGTGGGCTCGCTCAACAGAATCAGATAATGATGCATAATCATTTCCTTTTTTATCACATGTAAAATTACTGTAGATTAGCATGCCACTTTTCCATCACCACTTTGTTTCACAGGCACACTTTCCTTCTCTTTGCGTCTCACCTCCACCATCTCTGTACTCAGTATATGTCATGTTTTTCCTCTTCCCCTCCCCCCGTTCAATCCCCCCCACCCTTCTCCGTTCTTCCCCCCCTCCATTGTGCTAACGCATGCAGCTTCCACCGGCTGGAGTTTGACCCTGTGTGCGGGGGCGAGATGAAGTGCGAGGAACACACCATCTTCTTCCACTCCCCCCCCTCCTCCTCCTCCTCCTCCTGCTCCCCCCCTGCCTCTTCCCTCTCATCCTCACCCCCTCTCCATATCCCTGCCTCCCACACCACAACTGCCTTTGCAAGTAGTGCAACAGTGGGAGCAGCAGGGGGGAGGGGACTGGGGGAGTTGTTGGAGGGGCAGGAGATGCAGGGAGTGGCAGAGAGTGGGGGGTGATATAGCAAGGGGGCCTAGCCATGCTTGATCAGTTTTGGGCGTAACACAACACATGGCATGGAAAAGGGCTCTCGATCGAGTGTCAACAAAATTGGGGTTTCTGTTTTTCTAAGGATCGCTCGCTGGTCAGTCCTCCTGACTGGTTTGCATTTTGGGTTTTGATGATGCACCAGGCTTCTGCATTGGAGCTGAGTCGTGAATAGTGAATATTTCTGTGCTTGGCATTTGCATTGTACTGAGTGCACACAAGTGCACGCATCGATTTTCCTCAGCCTTACAGGCAGGCTTGGGGCCAGGCCCCTAGATTGCAGGATTTTTTTTCTGGTTCAGGAAAAAAAAGGGGGTTGTATCAAATTGAAAGAATGACTAGAATGTGAGAGTACAAGTCATTCTATCTTAGTGGGCTGTCCTCTCTAAGGCACAACCCTATATGGTCTACAACATCACACGCAAATGTGTTTGACACACCCCCTCTCAGAAACCTAGGACACTAGCCTCTTAAAACCACAGGCTAGAATAGCGAAGGGGGGGCGCACTTGAATTATTCGTTTTTTTAGGGTCAGAGAAAAGAACCCGATTTGCAGTGGTACACCTACCCGGACGCGAAAAGGCAAATGCTGCGATTTTGCAGCGCGCAACCATTGGCTAACGGAATAGAGCAGTCGTAACTCATCAGGGAAACACGCCGCGACAATCTCGAGGGTCGTAAGGCTCAACCAAAACAAAGTCCATGCGAACACCCGTCACCAGGGCGGTGTTTCAAGTGAGCCCCGGGTGTGCTATTGCTTCTCAGACGTAGGAGAACCCGGCACCTACGCTAGCTTAGCCCAGCTCCCCAGCCTTTTCCTTAGTCTGAAAAAAATAATCGGTGCGCGAACGGGCAAGAGCAGACCCCCTTATGTGTATGACATTTTTTATCGCACAAAAAATACTGTGCCCTGCAACAGCGGCGGCACGTAGAGGCGAAAACGCTATAGGCAAGGTGGAAAGGCCTAGGTGTACACACGTAATACCCTCTTACGGGGGGAAAAGGGGGAAGGTGTGGAGAATGGGCGGGGAGGGATGGGGGTAAGAGGTGCGCGGAATGTGTGAGACACGTGGTAAGAATGGGAAAATTAGGCGAACGTGCAAGGAGAGACGGGAGCGCAGGTAGGGGAAAGAGGCGAGGGGAATGCGGGGAAGAGGCGGGGGGGGGAAAACGAGAGGCGAAATGCATGGTAGAGAAGGCGGAATGATGAGGAGAGAAGACGGAATGATGAGGAGAGAAGACGGAATGATGAGGAGAGAAGACGGAATGCAGGGGACAGAAGGCGGAACGAAGGGGAGATAAGGCAGAATGAAGGGGGGAGAAGGCGGAATGAAGGGGGGAGAAGGCGGAATGAAGGGGGGAGAAGGCGGAATGCATAGGAGAGAAGGCGGAATGAAGGGGGGAGAAGGCGGAATGCAGAGGAGAGAAGGCGAAATGAAGGGGAGAGAAGGCAGAATGAAGGGGAGAGATGGCGGAATGAAGGGGGGAGAAGGCGGAATGAAGGGGAAAGAGGGCGGAATGAGGGGGGGAGAAGGCGGAATGAGGGGGAAAGAAGGCGGGCGGAAGGGGAGAGAACGCCGAATGAAGGGGAGAGCAGGCGGAATGATGGGGAGAGCAGGCGAAATGATGAGGAGAGAAGACGGAATGCAGGGGACAGAAGGCGGAACGAAGGGGAGAGAAGGCAGAATGAAGGGGGGAGAAGGCGGAATGAAGGGGGGAGAAGGCGGAATGCATAGGAGAGAAGGCGGAATGAAGGGGAGAGAAGGCGGAATGAAGGGGAAAGAAGGCGAAATGAAGGGGAGAGAAGGCGGAATGAAGGGGAAATAGGGCGGAATGAAGGGGGGAGAAGGCGGAATGCAGGGGAAAGAGGGCGGAATGAGGGGGGGAGAAGGCGGAATGAAGGGGAAAGAAGGCGGGCGAAAGGGGAGAGAACACTGAATGAAGGGGAGAGCAGGCGGAATGATGGGGAGAGAAGGCGGAATGAAGGGGGGAGAAGGCGGAATGCAGAGGAGAGAGGGCGGAATGAAGGGGAAAGAGGGCGGAATGAAGGGGAAAGAAGGCGTGCGAAGGGGAGGGAAGGCGGAATGAAGGGGGGAGAAGGCGGAATGAAGGGGAAAGAGGGCGGAATGAAGGGGGGAGAAGGCGGAATGAAGGGGAAAGAGGGCGGAATGAAGGGGGGAGAAGGCGGAATGAAGGGGAAAGATGGCGGAATGAGGGGGGGAGAAGGTGGGATGAAGGGGAGAGAAGGCGGAATGAAGGGGAGAGAAGGCAGAATGAAGGGGAAAGAAGGCGGGCGAAAGGGGAGAGAACGCTGAATGAAGGGGAGAGCAGGCGGAATGATGGGGAGAGAAGGCGGAATGAAGGGGAAAGAGGGCGGAATGAAGGGGGGAGAAGGCGGAATGAAGGGGAAATAGGGCGGAATGAAGGGGGAGAAGGCGGAATGAAGGGGAAAGATGGCGGAATGAGGGGGGAGAAGGTGGGATGAAGGGGAGAGAAGGCGGAATGAAGGGGAGAGAAGGCAGAATGAAGGGGAAAGAAGGCGGGCGAAAGGGGAGAGAACGCTGAATGAAGGGGAGAGCAGGCGGAATGATGGGGAGAGAAGGCGGAATGAAGGGGAAAGAGGGCGGAATGAAGGGGGGAGAAGGCGGAATGAAGGGGAAAGAGGGCGGAATGAAGGGGGGAGAAGGCGGAATGAAGGGGAAAGATGGCGGAATGAAGGGGGGAGAAGGCGGAATGAAGGGGAAAGATGGCGGAATGAGGGGGGGAGAAGGTGGGATGAAGGGGAGAGAAGGCGGAATGAAGGGGAGAGAAGGCAGAATGAAGGGGAAAGAAGGCGGGCGAAAGGGGAGAGGACGCTGAATGAAGGGGAGAGCAGGCGGAATGATGGGGAGAGAAGGCGGAATGAAGGGGAAAGAGGGCGGAATGAAGGGGGGAGAAGGCGGAATGAAGGGGAAAGAGGGCGGAATGAAGGGGGGAGAAGGCGGAATGAAGGGGAAAGATGGCGGAATGAGGGGGGGAGAAGGTGGGATGAAGGGGAGAGAAGGCGGAATGAAGGGGGGAGAAGGCGTGCAAAAGGGGAGAGAACGCTGAATGAAGGGGAGAGATGGCGGAATGATGGGGAGAGAAGGCGGAATGAAGGGGGGAGAAGGCGGAATGCAGAGGAGAGAGGGCGGAATGAAGGGAAATGTGGAGGGCAGGGAGAAAGGGGACAGGGAAAGGCGGAAGGCAGGGAGAGTGTTGGCAGAAAGATTGGGTCAGGGAGATGGTGACGACAGGGAGATAGGGGCAGGGGAATGTGGAGGGCAGGGAGTACGGGGGCAGGGGAATGGGGGAGACAGGGAGATATGGGCAGAGGAATGGGGACGACAGGGAGAAGCTGGACAGGGGAATGTGGAGGGCAGGGAGTGAGGGGACAGGGAAAGGGGGAAGGAGGGAGTGTGGTGGCAGGAAGATTGGGTCAGGGGGATGGGGACGAGAGGGAGATAGGGAGTGGGAGCGGGCAGTAGTGGTAGGAGAGTTCACCCTCCCTCCCCTATGTTCCCCCCTCCCATACGGTCCATCTCTCCCATTCACCTCCAATGCGCCCACTGCTTTCCCTGGAGTGCCCTCCAGATTGCAGGTGGAGCCATATGGCGCAGCCCTCCCAGAACGTGAACGCGTTAGCTGTCCATCACGTAATGGGCAGAATGGCCAGACGTCAACAGACAGGCAACCTGGCCGCTGATGTACCTGGGGGAGCAGAAGGTGTCCGACCAGCAGTGCTAGGAGAGATATACGAAGTGGCAAGGGTACTGCACCGACCACCCTCGGAGCTGGCAGCACCACCTCGACGGGCCGAGTGGTTGCCTGAAGGCTCACCTCCTGAAAAGCAGGAGGCATATAGAGGTGGTTGACCCCGATACATGATGGATGGGTGATAGGGAGAAAGGGGACAGGGACGAGGTTGCAGGGTCGGCGTGTGTGTGTATGGTGACGGTGACAACTGCTGGGGGTCAACGTGTGACACGGTATTTGCCTGAGTGGTTGACAAAACAAGGGATGGGGGTGTCTGCTGTAGGCCGGAAAATAAGGGGGGCTAAATAACAGTGTGCATATTATTGTCAAGGCACGAACTTGTATTATAAACTATAAGGCACTGCAATTGTACTCGACATTGGGTCAAGGCCGCTGGCAGCGGCACATCCCCACTCCACTAGGTATCAAAATTGAGAAGTGAATGTTAGATAGAGTGAGAGTACACACAGATATACCTACGTGTTGTACTCTCTAAGAGGCGACCCTATACAGTCTATACAAACACGACAAATACACATGTTTGACACACCCCCTAGACTGCATAGGGGAATGCCCTAAACAAACAGCTCAGGGCGGCACTACTAATCCAACCTCTGAGACAAGGGTCTGAGAGACCAGTCAGAAGGAGTACAAACAAGGCAAGAACAAGATCAGGGCGGCACTACTAGTCCAGCCACAGGGAGAGGACACAAGTCCAGTCTGAGTATACGTATAAAGGACAGTACAAAGTCAAGGTCCTAGCAAGTGAGAGGCTACAGGAACTAGACCAAGCTGTACACAGTGCCGCTGATGATCTTTAGGCGCAAGCGCCTTCGTAAAGATATCAGCCGTGTTGGCACCTGAGGCCAAGTGTACTACGCGAGCCTGACGTCGCTGCTGTAGCTCACGCAGGAGGAAGTACCGCAGCTGAATGTGCTTTGCTCTGCCCTCGAGTCGAGGCTCCTGACACAGGAGGATCATGGCCCTGTTGTCAGCGAACAGGACCGGGGCAGAGCTAGGCCGCTCACCTAAGTCAGTGAGCAAGAAGGTCAGCCAGCGGAGCTCTTGTGCCGCCATGGCACCAGCGTAGATCTCAGCCTCACAGCTGGACTGCGCAACAGACGAGGAGCGGGTAGCTCTCCACGAGACGGCACCTGAGCCAAGGCTGAAGCAGTAGCCCTGGGTAGACCTGAGTGTCTCAGCGTCGTCTGCCCACGAAGCGTCTGTGTGTCCAGTAAGGACCACTGGCCTGCGTCCTCCTAGCACTAACCCCATGCCCGATGTACTAGCAAGATAACGCAGAACCCTCTTAGCGGCAGACCAGTGCTGCGGTCGGTGTCTGCCTGTGGCCACAAAGCGAGCCAGGATGCTGAGAGGGTATGCGAGATCTGGGCGAGTGCAAGTCATCAGGTACATGAGGCAACCCACCAGCTCTGCGTAGGGGCCGCTGGGCTCTACGAACTCCTCAGACACTGGAGCGGAGATTCTG